AATCTTTTACACCTCTCTCACATGAAAGGGGGCCCACACATAATAAAATAATTGTGGACCCCCCTCCATGTGAGAGAGGTGTAAAAGATTGTGTAAAAGTGTGTGTGTACATGTAGCATTACCCTAAAATGTACATGTATTTACTATTTAGTTACGTTTATTTCTTTTAATTCTAGCAGATATTGGGAAATAATTTATACTATCAACTCACGTTTTCTTTATAAAAAATGTTATGGATATAAATGATCTCAATTCAAGTTTGAGTTCACGCTTTTTTTATATGGACTCGAATGGTTCTAATTATGAAATGTTCAAAGTTTAATTGATGGTTTTAGATATTAAAATGCTCAGATGGTCATTATTTAAAAAAATAAATGGAGTTTTAAATAATGATTTTTTAAAAAAAAATTGTATGGTTAAAAAAAATAAAAATTGCATACACATCAGGACTTAATTCAAACACGATAGTGACCCTATCACTTCAATAATATGACGAAACAATCGGCACAACTGTACAAAATTAAATGAAATAAATTATAATTGGTTGCTTGAATGATGATGACATAAATCATTAGTCAAATAAAGAAGACAGCGGGAAAGACGTGTGCCACAAGAAAATACACGTAAGGACTCAAATTAAACACGATTAGGACCAGATCATTTTAATAATCATAATTAAATAAAATAAAATATTGCCATCCACAATAATTTAATTTTTTATATCAAACAAAATACAAAGTAAAAAAATAAAAAATAAATATTTAAATATTAATATTTAAGAATTTATAAATTATAATACTAATATTATCAAATTTAGAATGTAAGCATAAAAAATAAGACACCATTTTCTTTGGTTTATACAACTAAACAAATGACACTGGTACATAACTAAATATTAATGAAAAATATTTGATGGGTTGTGCAGTGCTATAGATTAAGCACGTAACCGAAGAAATGTAACGAAAGCCAAGCATGAAATGAATAAATGGGACAATCCAATTGCTGGTGTAGATGGGCTGCTGTTTGTGGGACGACCATTGGGTAGTGGACGCACATGATTAGTTCCACCACCAGTTTGACCACCGTTGCCGTTTGAGCCACCTTCACCTCCATTTCCGCCATCCCCATCATCTCCACCTCCCCCAATTCCACCACCGCCTTTAGTGCCTCCCTTGCTTCCTCCCGTGCCACCTCCTTTGCTTCCTCCTGTTCCACCTCCACTGCCTCCTTTTGCTCCACCATTCCCCCCGCTGCTGCCTCCACCACCGCCCTTTGCTCCACCTCCTCCACCGCCACCGCCACCGCCCCTTGCTCCACCTCCACCACCGCTGCTTCCTCCTCCTCCACTCGGAGGAGCAACTGCGGAAGTCAGGAGGAAGCAGATGATTGTGAGCACAAAGATGAATTTCAGTAGATGCTTCATATTCGCAAATCTCAAAAGAATAATTAGACAATGCAAGAGAATTTCGGAGGTTGAAGTTTAGAAATAATGGCTTATAAAACCATATCAATAACATATATATATCAATTTCGAAATGGTAACGCAAGACACGAAACTTATGAAAATTCCATGCGACGCGATCCCTTTGACTTTGAATTGGTCCCACATAGTTTCGAAACAATTCACTTTAATATAGGATTTGACGATAATCTTTGTGAATTCTTATCCATTTCGCTTCTAATAATATTATCATCTATTGCATGTCTCGTGGAATCGATTAGTTCTGCTTTTGTGCTTCTATGAACGGATCTATATATTTCCTTGATATTTCCATTGTCATTTCGGTTTGGCACACGAGTCTAATTATTGGATACATCACCTAATTTGTTAAATCGACTAATCAATAGAGACGTGTTGATTTGATAGAAAAATAACATTGTCAATTCGAGAACTATTTAACCAAAAAAGGGTTGGACGAGTAGAGTGAACGTTTTACAAATATTTTTTGAGAAAAAAATTGGACCCTACCATTTTCCTTTCATTTTCATGCTTTGTTGATTTTATTTTTTTAAAATTAAGATGAGGAGAAATTCATCATTTTACACAAATTAATGAAAAATAGACAAAATGATGTGTAAATGAAAGATTGAGACTGTTTGATGATAAATTAGTAACTATATGCAAAATTCAAGGACGAAAAGTGCAAATTAACCAAATTTTAATGGGCCGATCAATTTGGACCGAATTCAGTCAACATCAATCCACCCTACCTTTGACCATCAACTGTCCCAAACTGTCAAAAATGTAGGCATTTTGTGGAAGCAGGTAATACGTTTGAATTTTACAAAGCTTTTTTTTAATACATTCAAATCATGCTGGTAATCCAAACAATACTTTAATTGTCTTATCTACTATATCAATATTCTCCACGACATCGTTTTAAGATCGTATCACTTTCTTAATTGAGAAATCTATGCAAATTAT